CACATCGCTTCCCTAGCTCCCTTTCCTATGGCTTCTTTCGAGTCTCTCCATTTTTTACAGGGACTAGATATTGGAGGAGTTTTTGATTCTGATTATTCCCAAACATTTCAATCAGCATTGCATCCCTCAACATATGCAACTCAAGAAACAGTTCTGCGAGAAGAAAGAAAGAAACTATTCTTATATCGTAGAATTTCACAAAAATAATGGTGATTTTGGCTGACCTATCCAATTTTTGTGCTCTCTTACCACGATGAGTGTCAGATCCCAGATTTGTTGTCTCGATGAGTGTCAGATCCCCACGTCACTGTGACCAAATGCCCTCAGGCAAGGTCGGTGTCATCATCTTTTTACATCATTACTATTTTGTCAACGAAGATTTCGCTCAATTCCTTGAACTTACACGCAGTACGTTACTTTTACCAAGGTACCAAAGCGGATAAGGAACATACAACTAAAAATGGGATACCTTCGGTGTTTTTCTTCATCAGTATTATCGGAATCGAAGTACGGTGATGGGTAATCTCTTGCCACACGTGGGACTGCCATCAGGATGAAGACGTAATTGCTGAAGAAGTATGGATCATCACCATATGAGAGCTGAAAATTCATCACAGAATTTTCACTGAAGTAAAATTGGATCCAAAAGCAGTCGATAACTATGTTTTCTCAGATCTCTTCTCGGATTTCTGATTTTGCCACGTTCGATTCATAGTGGTTTGGCTACATTTTATCCATCAATTCCTGCTATCACATATGATGACATGCAATGTTACGTCACCTCACGTGAAAGCAGATATCGACAAGCAAAATTTAGACATCAACAGTAGAATGACCATTGTTAGCGAATGTGTAAAGCAATTTACTTTAATGTGAAATCCTTGGTAGTCGATGCCTTCAGCAGTTCCTTCGTTAAGATGAGCACTGCCATACCATGCTTCATTCTTGTTAATGCTTACAACTTTTGCTACTTGAAGATTACGATATTCGAGCGCTTGATGTACATTTGCTTCAGCCACCGGAACAAACTTGAATCTGCAAGCAAATACTACATTTTGACATTTTAGTCAGTTAAAATTCACAAACCA